CTGCCTCAGCCTCCTGAGTAGCTGGGATTATAGGCATATGCCACCACGTCCAGCTAATTTTGTATTTTTAGTAGAGATGGGGTTCCTCCATGTTGGTCAGGCTGGTCTCGAACTCCTGACCTCAGGTGATCCGCCTGCTTCAGGCTGGAGTGCAGTGGCGTGATCTTGGCTCACTGCAACCTCTGCCTCCCAGGTTCAAGTGATTCTCTTATCTCCACCTCCTGAGTAGCTGGGATTATAGGCATATGCCACCACGTCCAGCTAATTTTGTATTTTTAGTAGAGATGGGGTTTCTCCATGTTGGTCAGGCTGGTCTCGAACTCCTGACCTCAGGTGATCCGCCTGCTTCAGCCTCCCAAAGTGCTGGGATTACAGGTGTGAGCCACCATGCCCGGCATGACAGCTGTTTTATTAGAAAAAAAAAATGACATAACTATTGCTGGGGATTCTCCAATTACAAGCCTTGTACTGTGCTCAGTGAAAAAAATAAAGAAGATTCTAGAAAATTATCCCAAATAGTTTTCTAACAGAACCTTTAGAATATTTAAGTATTTTAAATCCATGGGTTCTTAGTCTCACTATCCAATACTGCTGAATCAAAAGTAAGTGGTGAACATGAATATTAAAACGTGAGCAATAATATTTTATGCCACTGAATTTCTAGATTTACCACCAATCTAGAGTAAAGGATACAGATCAGCTCAAGAAAAAGAAGATTTATGTCAAGATAAAACATCCTGAAGGTTTTTTTCTACACCAGCAAATTTCTAATTCTATCTTGGAAAAAGGAACTGAAATTAATTCATGCAAAACAAAATCTCCCAAGAAACATTCTACACAGAAAGGAAATGAAACCCTGAGGTAGTATTAGAAATTATGTATTAAAGTTATTCCTACCCAGAAAGGCCAGGTTTCAGTAGTTCTCTAACATCACATCTCCATAAAAATTCTGCTGAGCAGGGTTCAGGAATTGCCACTCCTCCAGAGATAATTCTATGGCTACATCCCTGAATGTTTAATGTCAAAAGAAAAAAAAAAAAAACCCACATATTTTCCAAGGGGCTGAGTTCTTTTTTTTTTTTTTTGGGACAGAGTTTCGCTCTTGTTACCCAGGCTGGAGTGCAATGGCGCGATCTCGGCTCACCGCAACCTCCGCCTCCTGGGTTCAAGCAATTCTCCTGCCTCAGCCTTCTGAGTACCTGGGATTACAGGCACACGTCACCATGTCCAGCTAATTTTTTGTATTTTTAGTAGAGACGGGGTTTCACCGTGTTGACCAGGATGGTCTCGATCTCTTGATCTCGTGATCCACCCGCCTCGGCCTCCCAAAGTGCTGGGATTACAGGCTTGAGCCACCGCGCCCGGCGGGGCTGAGTTCTTAATTTGACTACAGGTGAAGTAAGTTAAGAGAACTAATTCTGACTTATTTGGGTGACTGGAAATATCTAACACAATAACATTTAACACAGTAATATTCTCTAAAACATTCCATAACTTTAAGAAAAAAGGATGCATGCCAGCAATTTCTGCTTCTGTAAAGGAAATATAGGCCACACTGACTTGCCCTTACCAAACTCAAGAGAGCAGCCCCTGTGACCTTTTTCTGTAAAACAAAAGGGTGAACTCACCTCTCACTAAAGTATCTGGAAGCCCTCATACTAGATCCTGGACTCACCTCACCATAGAAGTATGTGAGGCGCCTAATTAAAAACAGGGATGTTTCCACCCAGAACAATAGACAGAATCTGTAGGGAGGGCCCAGGTGATGGCATTGCTTTGAATTGGTCATGTGATCCTACGAGAAGACTGGGTGAGAATCACATAGCTGAGCACTGCGTCTCAAGCCTCAGTGTGCATATAAATTATTTGCTATTCCAGGCCTCACTGTGAGTAACAATGTGCTACAGGTTTGGAAAGGGTCTATAAATTAGCTTCTGTTAACAGGTCCGCTGTCAATGCTGATGTTGCTCCCCATAGACCCATTTAGCAGCAGTCAGCTTGAGAAAGCAGACACAGGACACAAAGTCCCTTACCCAAAAACCCTTATCCCGACAAAAATACTTTTTATCTAAAGAAAGAGTGAATATTTCACTTTCCAAAGTGAAATCCAAAGAAAGAGTTCATCAATCACCGTTGTGAAACATGACATTCTCCGTATGCCCTTTCAATATTACAGAGGCTGGAGATGGTGACATCTGAGTAAGACTGCATTTGGAAAACAAACTGTACACATGCATTAATGCAATGTTTGTGGAGAATGTTCTGTGTGCTCAGGAGTATGTCACAGAGCACTGTGCTGGGAACTTCATATCATGTATGTTAATTTTCTCAACTCACTAAGAGATGGGTACTAAGTGTCTCATAATTCCCTAGATTTAAATGCAGAGACCAGCATTTCTATTTCTTCTTCTGTTTCCCTACCATGGATTTTAAATAGAAAATATATAGAAAAATAGCTCAATATAAACAGATGGGAGAGATATAGAAAGGAAGTGTTAAGGGCAGTTCAGAGGGATTTTTAATTTTTGTGTTTGTATTTATTTTTTTGAGACTTGTGAAGAAACTACTAAAACTGCAGAGATGGAGAGCAGGTTGCTGGATGGAATGTCTCTAGAAACATTGGTTTCAACTAAAAAGAATAAATTTAAGGCTCCAAAGTATATATTTTTTCCCATTTGTCTGCTTTTGGGTTTCAAGAAATTGTGAGCATCAGTTCTAGAGAGAAGCAGCAACCCTAAACTCTGATGTCCTCTAAGCAGTACTGTGAGAGATTCCAGTGCAGAGTCAGACCTGGACAAGGTTCTGCAGAGGGTGAATCTGGGCAGTGTTGGGACAGACAGCGGATCCTAAGCTTCTGATCTCTATGCTGTTGAGTATTTTTAGTTCTGTTTTTCCTAAGCCTGCCCAAGAGAAATTTGATTCCCAAATTTTGTGATTTTTATTTTATTTTTTTTTTGAGGCTGGAATGCAGTGGCAAAATTTTGGCTCACAGCAACCTCTGCCTCCCACGTTTAAGTGATTCTCCTGCCTCAGCCTCCTGAGAGGCTGGGATTACAGGTGCATGACACCACACCCAGCTAATTTTTGCATTTTTAGTAGAGACGGGGTTTCACAATGTTGGCCAGGGTGGTCTCGATCTCTTAACCATGTGATCTACCCACCTCAGCCTCCCAAAGTGTTGAGATTAGAGGCGTGAGCCACCATGCCAGCTGATTTTGTGTAATTTTAATCTATTTAAGCCACTTCCATATATCTAACATACAATAACAAGATATTTAAGCAGATCTCTTATGTTTTACTAGAGCAATTATATTATAAGCTAAATATTCATTCTTAGTAAGGTAAAAGCAATACAAATAATAATAATAACTTATTTTCTACCCATGAATAGCTTTTTAGGAGTGGCATAAAACTCAACAATAAAAGGGAAGTGACCCAAATGAAGCTTAATGCTTCTGTGTACTTCCCATCTTTACACTGACCATGTGATGCTAAATTCAAACATTTATTAATGTGCTCTAAACCGAAAATTCTGAATAGTAGGGACCATGACTGCGTCATCTGTTTTCCTAATGGTCACATGAAAGAGAATGAATTGGCCGGGCGCGGTGGCTCAAGCCTGTAATCCCAGCACTTTGGGAGGCCGAGGCGGGTGGATCACGAGGTCGAGAGAACGAGACCATCCTGGTCAACAAGGTGAAACCCCGTCTCTACTAAAAATACAAATATTAGCTGGGCATGATGGTGCATGCCTGTAGTCCCAGCTACTCGGGAGGCTGAGGCAGGAGAATTGCTTGAACCCAGGAGGCAGAGGTTGCGGTGAGCCGAGATGGTGCCA